GCCGCTTTCCCGGCCGCGGGCTCTCGCTCCGGCCGGGTCTCAGGAGGGCGCATGCATGCCCTGCCGGCTGCGGGCATGCAGGCTGGAGCCAGGTGATGTGCGTGTATATATGTCTGTGTATGTATCTATACATATTGCAGTGTATTATGTTATTAACGCGTATAAGCGGCAGCAGCGTCTGCGAGCCCGGTGTGCTGTCCCGTCCGCTGGGCACGGCATGGCACGGCACATGCAAAGCTTCCCCGTGTGAGCCGAGAGCTCAGGGACGCCTTTGACTCACGGATGCTGCGGAGCTCCCGAATTCTCATACCAGCTCGGTTAAATGCTGCAGGTCACCTCAATTTTCTTGCAGAAGGTCTCATTTTTCTATCCAGATCTTTCTGAACGGCTGCTTTGTGCAGCGGGCAGTAGACACTGGCACAGACGGAAATTAGGCTAGGCTAATTGAAAGAATTACAATCAACATAATACAAATAAGCTGATTTTCATGCCTTTTTTTTTTGTTTTTGCGGCCAGGTGCGTTCCCTTGCCCTTTGCTCCCTGCCTCTTGCTGGTAGCATGCGTTTTCCCCCTTGCTGCAGCATGGGGCATGCAGGCACCGGAGAGGTGTTTCAGTAAGATAGGAGAAAGAAACTTTCTGTTTCCAGGAAACTTTTTAAAAGAAAATCTTTAAAAATTCTGTTGAAATTGCTCAGCAGGTTTGGAGTTGGGTTTTTGCTCTTGTTTGGTTTTGGGGTTTTTTTTTAGGGTAACCTAAGTTTGGGGGCAAAATCCTGGTATTGCCCTTTGAAAGGTTGTGTTTGACTTCATGTTTAATGCCTTGCAGTTCTGTGCTGTAAAGTCAGGTGGTACGTTCTTGGCTTATTTTTTATGATCTCACCTACTTAACAGTGTCTAAAACCAGAAGGAGAAGGCAATTTGTGGCCTTTGAGAGCAACTGCTAGGAAACGAGCCTGTCTTCCAGCAGGAAATGATGACCAGCAAAAAGCAAACCGCTTCCAGGAGGCGAACCCTGGCTGCCGCTGCCTGCAAAAGGCGCTGCTCTGAGCGGAGTCGGGTGGCAGGTCCAAGCCCGGTCGTCCCCGTGCGAAGGGCGGTCCTACCAGGATGCCCTGCCCAGGGACGGGAGCAGAGGGACTTTGGTGAAATCCCTCAATAGAAAGGAAGAAAGGTATATAAGCAAGGAGGGGAAAATGCACCCTGCCGCTCAGAGCATCCCCAGCAGCCTTGCTAGGCCTTCTGCTGGCGTGCAGTGGTGGCAGAGCCTTCTTCCTGCCCACGGGTGGTTGGGGAGGACTTGCCGTGCTCCAGACAGGGCTGAAGATGCAAACAGCAGGTAGTGAAGAGAGGAGACCCCATCTCTGGCTACCTGCCCTGCACCTCCAACCCTGGACTTGGTTCTTCAGCTCCAAGGGCATCTGGCCAGGCCCAAGCTGTACCTGGCTTGTGAATCCTCCAAGATATTTCCAAATCCTTCCAAAAATACAGTTAGCACGAGGCTGGGGGCTTGGACCTTCCACCCTGTCTGTGCCCAGAGAGCCCCGTTTTCCCACCGCCCCCCTCTTTGGCTACAGGATGTACCCAGTGGTTTTCCAGGATGGGGAATGTCCTCTGAGACGTCCCGGGAGAACCCCCGCCTTCCCCCGCCACGGCTTTTCTGCTCGTGCGCTCGCTTCTCGCGGGCTCCCTTATCTGAGCATCTCCAACCACATCTGACAAGGCTCGCGCTGGCACGGCTTTGCCAGCTGCAGTACGTTCCCAGGGCAGCGTGCACCCAGCTTCGCCGCTGGCCCCGGCGTGCCGCAACGGGGTGCTCCAGCCTCCACCGCTGCGGGCTGCCACGGATTAGGTAGCCCCGGGCCCGCGGCCAGTGCCGCAG